AATTATTTTTTCGGCATTGATATTTCACATTTATGCTTTATTATTTCCATTGAAAATGGGCTCTTAAAATGAGAAAAATATTGAGTCGAGTTGTAATGCATTATAAATGCAAAATATGGGAATCATCACTAGCCACAATTACAGTTAATTAATGATTTTACAGAATACCAGTAATATAATGAACTTCTTTAAAAATTTAACCTTATAACGAACAATTTACGGGTGATTATATAAATAATACAATACATTTTATATAAACCGAAAGATATATTATCGGTAAGCCAAATGTTTTAAACCTGTAAAAGATGATGATAAAAAGAGTGTGCATTTATTAGAGTGACATGTGCATTTTAAAGTTTGTCTTAAGCTACTGTTGAAAAAAAATTTGATTGAGGGCTTAATTCTGAAAGGAGTGAGTGTATAATGTTACAGAGAATTCTTAAAGAAAGTGAAATTGGTGAAATTGTTTGCGATTCACAAAATATTTTTTAATGAAACGAAGGGGAAACGCTTAAAAACATGACGGCGCGTATCCGTCATTTGACGTTATATTTAGTTGTGGCGACTACCATACATTGTTTATAATCCGATATTTTGGAAAGTATACCTCATATTCCTTTGAATTTTTCAGGTCTGATTTGAAATAGATATAACTTCCATTATTTATCATTTTGTTGTTTTACGTCGAATTGGTAGTAATTTTATCAAAGTTGTGACATTACTTTTGGATCAACCCTCATATAACATTGATTTTGGAAACATTAAAGATCTTCAACTTTTTATAATTGTCCTTTATAAATTATCTATTGTGAACATAACTTATTACAATGTATTCATATTTTCAGTACCTTGTTTATCTACTTTGGACTTCACTGCTCTTCTCTGTGGACTGGCAGGACTTTTATTCACTATATGGGGTCTACCCCTTCCTCTTTTCATCTTCCTTGGAGACTTCCTAGTGCCCTTTTTAACTGGTTCTTGTATCTATTTTAAATAAATATTTTGAAGAATTAAGAGGGTTTTAACCTAATTTCATTACAATTTTCATAGTGTGATAATAATTCAACATTAATAACGATATTCAATCACAATAAGATCCCCTCTACACCAAAATATTACCTTTGCTCAAACCCAACTGTTTGAATACTCAAACTTTATTTTTAATTGAATTGTTACAACTTTTGAAAGAACGACAAAAAAAGCCTGTCCATTTCTTGACAACAGATTTATTTTTTCATATTATAGTTTATTCTTATTAGCTTGAACTATTTTTGTGTTATTCTTTGGTCATGTAGTCTATTTTAATTTGACATTTCTGAATTTGAATTGCTGCTTATCTGACATTTTTTTTTAAATTCTATATTTCTTTTGTAATTTCAAGAATTCTTAATGTGTTTAACCATTAAAAAAAAAAATAATAACACAAAGGTAAACCTTTCATTTCAGGGTGAAGGAGTGGTGGTGCATGGCAGGGTATCACACTAGTACCACACTGTTTTCAGAATTTACATTGTGACACGATAGCGGTGTTTTTCTTTGAAGTTTACTGTTCTGTATTAGCAATACAGAACGGGACTGTGGTGGGCGGAGCTACTTTCCGTTCTGTATTAGCCCTGTATATAGTGTATTTGCCAACTATTCTGTATCTAAAATACAGTACGGTCTAAAAATAAATCTGATTCAATTTAGCAAAGCTAGCACGTACACATAATAAATACTGATGTTTTCCTATAATTAATTTTTAAGAAATACCCGGTATTTTCCTGAGAATGTAGAATGTCAAAATTTCTCAATCAATTTCTAAAACTTATTCCACACAGAATCTACACGTAATTTCGATCGAAAGTAAAAAAAATCGCAATAACGGAAAACATCCTCTGTACCTAATTTTGAACAATCCGACAACGAAACGGAAAATTCGCTATCACGGAAAAAATCCTTCTCGCTGACGACAGCCACACGTCTCTTTCACTTCGTTTTTAATGTCGCAATTCAATTTGAAAATGAAAATCCCTGACATCAAAGTCCATTGAGAATTTTCTGTAAATCCTGTTTTTGTAAATCTAGTTAAACCGGAATTTTAAGACCCCTGAAATAAATTATGATAGATCTCTATCTACAATTATAACAACAGATCACAACAATTACGGTTAAATCCTCCAATTCATCCATTAAGACTGACTATCACTCGATTACGTCTACCCCGTTAAATTGTCAAAACAAATCTGACCGAATTTTACGTTTTCCGTGGAAATATATATACTGCGGATGCGTACTCCCCGTCGGGGCCTCATCTACAGTGGATGCTGCAAAGTTATAAAGTGGGCGGAGCTATTTTTGATTGATCGTGTCACAAATCATTTAGAGAACTCGACAGGTTCTGTATCGTAGATACAAATTTAGGGGCGGAGACTCGTGCTTTCGCACTCGTCTGCCCCCAAATTTGTATCTACGATACAGAACCTGTCGAGTTCTCTAAATAATACTTTAAGTTCAAATCATACAGCTGATATCTACAACATATCATTTATTTTCTTGCTAGCTAGGTGAGGACAGATTATTATTTAAAATTTCAACATTTTTAGGACAGATTTTTTTTCTATCAAATTCTTACACAGTTCTGTTGTGAGATATCCCAGTCTGTGTCCTCTTTGTCCTCTGCCTCAGATCCACTGTCCCAGCTGTCACTGGAGTCCTCATCATCAGATTCTACAGAACGTTAGCAATCTACACTTTATACAAGACTTTTTTGATACATCTACATATAAATTTCTAATGGAAAATTTGATTTTTGGACCAATTCATTTAAAACTTTGAAAAACTGAAGGGCCAAAATTCAAAATTTAGATCTTAATGGCACATCTAGTACATGGACCAATCATGCAAAAAGAATTTTCGTTTGCAGGCTCGTATGACGGTTTCTATGCAAAATAATTAATTAAGACCCATAATTGCTATACATACCGCAAAGAAAATGTGAAGACTTGTTTTCTAATACATTCTTGGTACCCACGATATGCGATTGCCAGTACACATTATGACGTCATATTATGACTTCATCGACCTTTACTACACAAGTTTATAAGAAACATCAACAAAATTGCCTCGGCGCAAGGGCATACCTTAAGGTATAAAGAGAAGCAGAATATTCCAAGGAATTAAGATATTACTGCACAAATGTCGACACTGCAATTGTTTAGTTACTATTCGTACAGTTTTATGTTGAAACAGGGTAAAAATGCACAGTCCACTGTAAGTTTAGTAAAATTTTTATCAATTGAAGAAGAGCATAGGATTTGTGCAGCAATTTTATTAATTTTAAGAATATTCTCCTTTAATATTATACATTATTTATTTTAAATGAAATAGGATATGCCCTTGCGCTGACGTTGTTTTTTGATGTGTTTTATTACCTTGAATGGGAAAGAACTATGACGTCATAATATGATGTCATAATGTGCACTTGCATTAACTGTGGGTACTAAGTATGTATTAGAAAATCAATTTGAACTTTCTCTGTGAAATACCGTAAATCAGGAAATTTTTACATCGATTTTATTTTGCGAATTCGGTCAAAATGCTGTTGATTAATTTTTACGTTTCAAATTTTGCGAATGACCACTGCTTTGTTTACATTTTCTTATTTGTGATTTATTTTTAAGAAAAATATTTTTGCGAATGCAATGCACTCGCAAATTTGCTAAAAATTTATCTACAGCAAAAATTTCCAGATTTACGGTATACAATTTATGCATTTTTATTAGCTCATTTGCACAGAAAAGCCCATATTTAGCTTTAACTCACGTTGTTTTTAAACCTGTAAGGGAAAGTTTAAATGTACAACAAGTAACATCAGTAATATTCCCAGTCTTAAAAAAGTGATGGGGAAAAATATAAAATGTAAACAGTACCTTTGCTATTTGCTGCTGAATTTAATGGACTTTTCCTTCGACTGCGTGACACTTTGTCCACTGAGCGAGGTCTTCCCCTTCCCCTTTCCTGTGAGACAGATTTTCCTCCTCAGAGTCCTCAATTGTTCATATTCCTTCAGTTCTACCTCATCAGATGCCCCACTTTTTTTTTTATTCCTTCCACAAAATAAAACTTTTTATTGCAGAGCATGCATCAAAATATAAAAGATTAGAAAACGAATTTTTGTAAGAATTAGCATTTACTTTTCGGTCTTTTTATACCACATCTTTTAGTCAATGACCTGTCAACTTGGGGTTTCTTATACCTATTTGACTTTTCAGTTTGTGGGGGGACGTCCTCTGCCCCTGCCGTGTACTGTTATCTTCTTTGGCTTCTTGTCCGTTTTTCGGGGACGTCCACGACTTCTTTTTATCTGAATGTCCTCCTCATCCACTTCCTCCAATTCTTCTAATTCCACATCCTTTTTCACATCCTTTTTCGTTGGTGATAACAAATTTATGCTGCAATAACATTTTAAACTTCATCTCAACAAAATTCTATGTTATGTTTATTTTTTTCAAAGAACTTAATAAATAATAACTGTAAACAATTCTCCAAATTCTTGCTTTGTTTAATTGAACAAAACATTAGCAAGACGGATATTGAGTGATTTATCCAAAAAATGGTGTTTATTATTTTTAGCGAGAAGTAATTTTAACAGATATATAATATCAAGAAAGATAACTATTACAACCAATACAGAATAAATTGTTAGCAATATCCAATTTTAGCAATCAGAATCCTTGATATTAATAATGCCAAAATTGAATCCATGTTAAAAATTCTGCTTATATGGTATACAAGTACATGGAAGTATTTTGTATATGTTTTTATATTTGTACATTCAAAAATTTTATGTTACCTGTTCAAAGAATCCTTTGCAGATTTGGGGGACGGCCACGCCCTCTGCCAGGTACTCTTATAACTTCTGGCTTTTTGTCCATTTTGGGGGGACGTCCTCTACCTCTTTTTGGATTAACGCTCATCTCCCCCTCTTCTTTCTCTTCCTCTGGTGATGCTTATTAATTGTTGGCAATAACATGCTATAAAATATAATTTTATTCAAAGGAGAATGATGATAAAATACACATTTCTTAGTCTTTGGATAGACAAGTATGTCACTTCTCAAAAATATCTGTACACACACTCAATGGGATAATGTTAGTTATCCAGGTTCAATCAACGGAGTGCTGGATTTACCCCGGGTTTCATTTTTATTTCATACACCCTGAGGCCGAAGGGTGCTGTGGAATCGCCACCCGGGGAATATCCCTGTACACCCTAATTAGACTGGATAACAAGAATTTTATTCCTATTACCCATAAAAAATTCTTTTTAACATCAGAGTCTAATGAACTGTGTCTCAGTCTCTGGATTAAATACATACTACAGTGCATCATGATGTCATGCTATTTGGCTTTTCATCAAGAAGATCTCGCATTGTGATGTCACGTTTATTACCCCCCCCCCCACACACACACAAAAGTTGGGTGCACAGAAATTTACACCAGACTCTGTAACCAATCAAAGCTTGTGTTACAAGCTACATAGGAAATAAGTTGACTTATAACGATGTTCACTGAACCATAATTTACACACATTCTCTCTATATGTACATAAACTGTATCAGACCTGCTTGGTGAGTGACTGTTAGAAGGACTTCTGCTACTTGGAATGACTTCATCCTCTGAATCATTTGCTGCTGATGTCATGTTTAGACTGCCAATTTAATTTAATTAAAGCATACAGACTTCCCATTTTTATTTACAGGTACATATATCAGAATCTTAGTTGATTAGACAAATTAAGATCATTTACTTTACATAAATCTCATTATTACACACCTATTTGATGTTGTAGATTTTGGTGGGCGCCCATGCCCTCTGCCTGGTACTTTGATTTTTTCTGGCTCCCTGTTCCTTTTTGGAGGACGTCCTCTACCTTTCTTTAGTTTTAAGTCCCTCTCCATTTCTTCTGTTGATTCTTCTTTTTCTTCCTCTAACAACTTCAGGCCCATA